ATGCCGGAGCATTGGATGCCAGACCAATGGAGTTTTACTGTATAGCTACTGGAATGATGACAATGAATGAAGAACACTGCTGAGCTCCATCTCCAGCTGGGGACAGTAAGAAGGAACTGAAGGTAGGAAGCTGAGCGCCTCATTTGCTGTGCATGTGTAACCCACACACCTAGTGTGGTTACTGAGCAATGCAAGTGGTACCTAGACCACAACAACAGTTAAGACCAAGAGACCTCTACAGCATGCTACTGGAATGATGACAATGAATGAAGAACACTGCTGAGCTCCATCTCCAGCTGGGGACAGTAAGAAGGAACTGAAGGTAGGAAGCTGAGCGCCTCATTTGCTGTGCATGTGTAACCCACACACCTAGTGTGGTTACTGAGCAATGCAAGTGGTACCTAGACCACAACAACAGTTAAGACCAAGAGACCTCTACAGCATAGGCTGCAGGCCAGCTGGCTTTTAGCTCAGAGGCTCCTATACTCAGCTCCAGATCTCCCAGGTTCAAATACGCCCAGTGGCAGTTACACATGCGCTGCCTCTGCTCCTCTTCTCCCCCCGCCCCAAGCTATGCTGTGAAAAATCCAGCCTATGGCACTGGAACGCACTGACACTTGCTGTGGAGCACCCCAGGGACATCTCTCTTGGACATTTACTCGTAGTTTACATTGAGTAACTATACATTTACATGAAATACAATATCAGAAGGTCTCACCAGGCTTGTAAGTCCTTTGATATAAATATAGCCTAGTTTAAGCAGTAAAAGACTGGGCCCTAGAAACTCCAAAACTCTACTCTTCATTCCGTCAGTAATTTTCTTTTTGATGCTGAGAAAATCTACCTCTGTGCCAGAGGCCTGGTCTAAACTTAAAATTTAGGTCAACATAGTAGGGATGTATCAGAGGGGGTAGCCATGTTAGTCTGAATCTGCAAAAGCAACGAGGCATCCTGTGGCACCTTATAGGCTAACAGATTTATTGGCGCATAAGCTTTCATGGGCAAAGACACACTTCGTCAATTGCATGCCCGCGAAAGTTTATGCTCCAATAAATCTGTTAGTCTATAAGGTGCCACAGGACTCCTCGTCACTTTTATAGTAGGGATGTAAAGAGTTAACCAGTTACCTGGTAAGTATTAGCCTTATTGCTTTGTTTACTGGGATAGCCGATTAACTGGCGCCTATAGCACAGTGTGGCAGGGCCAGCCCAAGCAATGTGGTGGGCTTGGCTCAGCCTGGCCAGAGCAGGCCAGCCATGCTGGAGCAGCTTCCATACACGCTGCAGTGAGCTTGGTTAAGCCTGACTAGAACAGCCCACGCTGAGGGAGGTCCAGCTGGACTGGAGCAGCCCCCTGCTCATGGCGCACCATGGGCAGTTGCACTCCCAGCCCACAGAATCCTGGTTAACCAGTTTAATGCAACCTTTAATCAGTTAACTTTATAAACAGGATTTTACATCCCTACAACATAGCTACATAGGTGAGGAATGTGGAAAAATACACACTCCTGAGCGATGTAGCTATGCCAACCTAACTCCCAATATAGACGCAACCAGATCAGTGGAAGAATGCTTCTGATTAGTCTTGTTGCCAATGCTCAGGAACATGGTCTTCCAACATTGATGGAAAAAAGCCCTTCTGGTCAATGAGTTTCACCTTGAGTTTGATAAATATTTCGACCCAATCTTTACCACTAGCTAAACTGACTGGAGAAAGAGCCTCTCTCTCTCTCTGAAAATCCAAAAGACTTGCATGGGAATTTATATTTTCCATGACAATGTGTATATGAGAAATCAGTGCAAAATTATTTTGCATTCAGATAACTGAAAATGGAAGGTTACAACAGAAATACTGTGTTAAATTCACATCCACTCATTTATTGACTAAGTCACAGATTACTTCACACAAATTCACTAGCAAAATAACCAGTTTAAACATACTTTTACACAGCTTTATTTCTTAATGTAGCAGCATTTGATTCAATAAGTCAAAGGGATTGATAAAAGGCTATGTGGTTAACAAATATCAGTAGAACACTAGCAATTTAGGCCGAAATTTCAGTTATTAAAAAAGGTTTTAAACCCTTTGAGAAGTATTTCCACATGTTACAAATGTTGGACTGAAGCATTTCTTTACAGTGTTTATAACCAAAACATTACGTCACAAGTGTATGAGAATCTAAGTCTCACACATCTAAACCCTACTGTGCCATTATCACACTAATAATTCCTAAAGACTTTAGCCTCCAAAAATAGACTGGATGTTAGCTGTAATCTATGTGCAGGACAGAGGTTATCAGAGTGGGCCTGCTTGAAATCCAGAAATACTAGTATAGGCAGTCCACGACTTACACAGATCCGACTTATGTCGGATCCGCAGTTACGAACGCGGCTTTTCTCGCCCCGGAGGACACGGACTGCGGAACCTCGCGGTCCTGCCGCCCGTGTACTCCGGGGCGAGAAAAGCTGCTCCGCGTCTACCTGGTCTGCAGACCAGGAAGACGCGGAGCAAAGCCGCGGAGCACGCCCGCAGGGGGACAGCTCAAGCGCGCCCAGGCTGTCCTGCTGCGGGCGTGCTCCAAGGCTTTGCTCCCCGTCTGCCTGGTCTGACCAGCAGACCAGGGAGATGGGGAGCAAAGCCTCGGAGCACGCCAGCAGTGGGACAGCACGGTGCGCCTGGACTCTCCCGCTGCCCGCGTGCTCTGCGGTTTTGCTCCGTGTCTCCCAGGTCAGCAGACCAGGGAGACGGAGCAAAGCCGTGGAGGACTTGGGCGTCCCCACCCCCGTCTCCCTGGTCTGCTGGGGAGGGGGGTGCAGCTAGTGCCCCCCCTCAGCAGACCAGGCTTTTCTTGCCTACCCCTGGGGTAGAGCAGCTGGGGGCTGCCGGGTTGGTCCCGCAGCGCTGCTCTGGACCAACCTGGCAGCACCCCAGCTGCTCTGCCCCAGGCTTCCTGGAATCAGCCGCTGATCAGTTTCAGCAGCAGCTGACTTGGGGACGCCTGGGTTTCTTAAGTTGAATCTGTATGTAAGTCAGAACTGGCGTCCAGAGTCAGCCGCGGTTGAAACTGATCAGTTTCAGCAGCGGCTAATGCCAGTTCCGACTTACATACAGATTCAACTTAAGAACAAACCTACAGTCCCTATCTTGTAGGTAACCCGGGGACTGCCTGTATCATAAACCAGAAAAATGGGTAAAAATACCTCATACAATGGAAGACCAGATCTTTAAGTTATACATACAAAAAAAAATCTAGAGTTTCTTGTGTGATATATCTATTTATCAATATTTAGCTAAGATAAAGCTAAATCCTAAATATCAGTTTATTATTCACACTAGTTAAGACTGATACATATGAGCCACAACATTTTTTTAAACATAGTTAGAGGAGCACCCAACTTTAATCTTGGTGTGTCTAGACTACACAGTTTTTTCAAAAGAAAATAGCCTTTTTTCGAAAAAACTTCTTGGTGAGTCTAGACTGCAGACGTGTTCTTTCTAAAGTAAATCGAAAGAATGCGGCAGTTTTTATGAGGAATAATGCATTTTTTCTAAAGTACTCTTTCAAAAAAAAGGAGCTATTGAATGCAAAATGTGTTTTATCAAAAGAGAGCGTCTATACTCTTTTTCGAAAAAGCGCTTTCTTTCGAAAGAGGCTAGTAGTCTAGACGTAGCCACATTATATACAATTTTATTAACAGCTATATTTTGGATTACAATGCAAAATGTTGCTTGTCACTTTTCTTCTTAACTACATAATGATCTTTATTTGAAAAAATCAATTAAGTCAACTGCACTTTCAGATTCAGTGCTGTAATATATATGGCTTGGAAACACTAAAGAAAGTTTTTTATTAAAGACCATAGAAATTGATCTATGGATCACAGATTTTTGTATCTTTTTCCACAAGTATAACATTTGGACCAAATTTGAGTTGAAAATGTCCCTTTAAATAGAGGGGTCTATTACACTTCCAAGTCTAATGCCACTTAAAGTGGATCAAGTTGCCCAAGGATCAATTTTTGGTCTGTATAAGTTTATTGCTTACATTGCAGTCTGTTGTTGGCTGAGGCATGGGCAACTGTACCATATATCTCCAAATGTGAGCCGTCTGGTCTCCAGATGCTGCACAGAAATAAACTGGATAAGTATATTTCCATAAACACAATACAGAAAAGATTTTCTTTTCACATTTTGGCTATGCTACATAAATACTTTTTTTTTTCCTAGCAAATTTTGGTAAGATTCAACATAAATAGCAGTTTTTCTCACTTGACAGTTGGCTGAGAACATAATAATTAATTAAACAAAACAGGAGAAGTCATCCAACTGACTTACTCCTAAAATGAAAACATTCACTTTCTTTTAGGGAAAACTGTTGAAAACAGTATATACTTGAATATTCTATTATTGGTCATCAGTTCCATATCACTAGTATGTAATTAGCAAATTTGAAAATGGATTTTATATTAGTAAAACAATTCATGTTGCGTCCTCAATGTTTTAGGAAATAAAAAAGAATTTCCTTCCCATCTTCTTTCCCACTGTCATTCTTGGATCAATCAAGGTTTTTAGCATCAGATTAAAAAAAAAATGAAGTTTAACTATAAGGAGAATCCAAACCAACAAATGTGAACAAATATGTTTCTAACTTAATGTGGAATCAAATTTTGTAAAGCTATGGACCTCCTTTTTGCTACATAAAGGAAGCCTAAATGTCTATAGCATATGTCAATTAGAAACAATAGCCACTCTTTGCATAAGGATAGCTTTCATACACATATGGCCTATACAAGGTATAATCCATAAATATTTCAAGTTTAGGCGAAGGCGAACAGGATACTGTGGGATCTGCAGTCCATCTATGTAATTAAAAAAAAAGCGTACAGGATGTTCCCTGGTACTACCCCTCTGAGATAATATGAAGTGAGATGACTCGAGGCTCTTAGTAGGATCTCCAGCACATCTGGTTGGATCTGGTAGATCTAGAAGCAGAGTATTTTCTCCTTTGGCCATACAGTGAAATGCTAGATGGAGGAGGACTGTTGTAAACCAGGGTACAATCAACATTGGCATTATAACTGATGATTTCCTACTTTCAACATTCTGGGGTTTGTTTTTTTAATTATAAATTTGCTTTACCATAGAGGATAGTGTGGAAATAGAGGCTAAGAGCTTTTCTATTTTTCTGCATCCTGTATCTCAAAAGCACCTTGTTTCAACAATTTCAAATTAAATAGAAGAAACTCAGCTTAGGCTTTTGGAAAAGGGAAAATGAGGTTTATAACTGGTACAGTACTTCAATCTTATTGATGTTACTAAACCTATGCCAAATTCATGACCATGAAAAAAACCCACACTTCACAGACGGCGAACTCTCTTTCATGAAATCTAGTCTTTTGTGTCCTTTTACCTTATACTATGCAGATTTCATGGGAGACTAGTATTTCTGAAAGTTGGGGGTCTGACCCCAAAAGAATGTTACAGGAGGTTTATAAGTTTATTGTATGGGGATTATGGCCTTTCCACGCTTAATTCTGCTCTGCCTTCAAAGTTTAGTAGCTGGAAAACTGGTTGCTGCCCAGGTGCCCAACTCTGAAGGCAGCACTGCCACCAACAGCGCAAAACTAGTATGTAGCAACGTGTCTCATCCCGCCAAAACAATAACCTAGCAAATCCCCTTCACATGCACATAACCTGCCTTTAGGTTAGGAATGCTACAATTACAACACTGAAATTTCAGATTTAAGTATTTGAAATTATGAAATTTAAGATTTGTAAAACTCTGAGCCCATGACATGAATCAATATGGACCATCAATTTGGTAGGGCACTACATATTATGTAACTGTAAGCTTGAAGAAATTCAACTATAAATGACAGAAAAAAGTGCCACAGAGTGCCTGGGAAGAAATATTCACTCCTAGATATGTACATGGTCCCCATAACCCCAGTATTTGCATACTTCTCAATCTTTTACATGTTTTTCCTAAGTACCTCAATTATGTCTAATTACATATGGGGAAGTGAGGCACAGAGTCAAAATAACTAAGACAAACTAAGTAAGTTGCCCAAGGTCACACAGGCAGCAAAGCAAATCAGGCACGAATCTCAGTCTCCTGAAACCTAAAGCTAGTACCTTATTGTGGAACATTCACCACATCTTAGGGATTTGAACACAAAGCTGTACTAATGATTATGGCCCATGAAAAAGTTTTCATGATCATGAGGTACATCAGCCACTATAGACACACTATTATTCTGTTAGTGTCCTTTGAAGTCTATAGTTCCTCATTAATTTTAAAAAGTGCCATTACAGTTTTCTTTATTTGAAGTAAATTAGAATAGAAAATAAAAATGTAAAACGGTAATGTGATATTTATTATTCCCATCTACACCCAAAGAACTGCTAGATATTTCCCAAATCACAAAAAAATATGATCCCTGCACCAAAAATTAACAAACAGTAGGGAATTAGAAAGGGAAAGGTGATGATAATATCGGCTACTCAGCAAGGGCTAACACATGGTATTACAGTAAAAGAATGGTTTGTTTTTAGTTTATGATCAGAACAAATAATGCATGAAACAAAAATTCTACATACCTGTAAGAGCTACTTGCTCCGTTGGATGGAACTTTATAGAATTTACTGCATAAAACAAAACCAATTTTTAGGCCAAACTTACAACAAAAAAAATCTTTTTTAGAAAAAAAGCCATCTTAAACTGTAAAACCCTCTGTAAAGTAGTGAAGTGTCAAATTTTATCCTGAGGGCTTGTGATATGATAAGGTGATAAGTAAGAGTCAACATGGATTTGTCAAAAACATGACAAACCAAAGTACAAGTTTTTTTTAACACGGTAACAAATTGTATCCAAGTGAATATTATTAGATAATTTCAGCCAAAATAAATTTGCTATTTCCAAGAACAATACTAGGGAAAAAAGCTATTTTGTCCATGGTAAAAAATTCTGGCAACTGTCTTTAAGAAATGCTAGCACCCTCTGCTTTGGAGCAAAGACTTGCAGTTTTAAAAGGAGGTTACTGTTGTACCAAGAATATGCTATTTACTATTCCTGTGAAAATTCACCTATGCAACTTTAATTTGGCTACTTTGTGCATATGCAATATGATAATCTTTACATAATCACGCCCTACTATTTTCCCATATGATCTCTGTTTCATTCAGTGCACAGAACAGACCTGTTTTGGTAATCAATCAGCATTGTATGGTAGAGTACACCAGGGCTACTCAACTTTGGAAGCCCCGAGGGCCAGAATGATTCTCACAGTACATGCCAAGGGCCGCAACTTAAGTATGGTTGCATATACATGCAAATATAAATGCAAATATATGCAAATAGCTTCACAATTACAGGCATGAATACGATTAAGGAAAGACTACAGAACCACAGGCCCCATTTAAGTCAGTTCTGCTGATATTAATAAAATGTAATATTTACCCAATTTCCACCCATATAACAGCGCTTTTAATGAGCAATGAGTGTCCAGAAATTTAACTACAAAAACGTATATCAACTGAAGACTGTTATATTGCCTACTTCATTGTTTTGGCTTCACAACAGTCCAGGAACTTAACTATTAAAATTACAAAAACTACTAAATTTAACTACTAAAACACATATCATCATGTGTTTATCCAAAACGCGTTTCCTATTTGTACCATTTTTAATCAATAGTAAAATTAATCAATGGCAGGGGGAGAGATAGCTCAGTGGTTTGAGCATTGGCCTGCTAAACCCAGGGTTGTGAGTTCAATCCTTGCAGAGGCCATTTGGGGCTAAAATTTGTCAGGGATGGTACTTGGTCCTGCTGTGAAGGCAGGGGACTGGACTTAATGACCTTTCAAGGTCCCTTCCAGTTCTAGGAGATAGGCAATCTCCATTATTAATGCTTCTTACTAAAAGAAAATTGTATACCAATGTTTTTGGTGTTTAGCTAGAAGCTTCAGGTTGTGCATTTTTGGAGTGATTTTACTCAGGAAAAAACATTTCCAAGCCAGAGTGCTCCAACCTGCAGTGGGCAGGGAGCTGGGCGAGTCAGGCCAGACATGAGAGGCCCCATCCTGGATTCCCAGCAGGGCTGATGTCCCCAAGTGGAAGTCCATCGCTCCCTGTGGTATAGAGGCAGGGCTGCCTGGCCACAGCACTGGACCCAAACATGGCCAGTGTGAGCCAGTCAACACTACTCAGCCTCTGCCCACTAGGCTAAGCAGCTAGCACTGCCCATAATGCCCTGGCACTCCCAGCACCTCCTCCCTGGCAACTAGAAACGCCGACACCATGTATCCATCTGTTACAGCCAGACCGTCTGCTTGCATCTTTCAATGCTCAACCCCACCTAGGAGACGCTTTGCTGTTATGAGCATGTTCCCCAGTGGAGGCCATGTTCAAAGGATCCACTCGCAGGCTACGCGTTGAGCCCCGTGTAAACCCAAACCCAGTGATTCTCAAACTTTTTGCTCCATGGCTCAATATAAACCTTTCCGCAGACCACCAGTTGCTAATGGAAACTCACTGTTAATTACATAATTATACTCACACATTTTGCTAGTGCTGCAGATAGGGAGAATGGTTTAATTTAAATTATTAAACAGATTAAGCATTTTAATTCTCTCATGTTAGTTTATCAAACTTCATTTTAAATAAAATAAAATATTAATTTATGTCCAACACAAAAGATTTCAATTATTGTTTATGTATGGAAGGTATGGAGATGCTTTTTTGTGTCAGGGGCCACTAACCTACAGAAAAATCAGTTGGGGACCACATAAGTCAGAAGCAAAAGAACTCCTTCAAAAAAAACCATCCCTCAATGATGTGGCCCCCAACTGAGACACCTCACTCCTCCGGTGTTCCCCATGGAGCGAGAGAAAGAGAAGGAACAGGGAGGACTGAGGTTCAGGGCTTCCCATAGGCCATATATACTTTTCTGGGGTTCTGGAGTTAGGGATTTTTATGGACCCCCTTAAGCTCTGGGGTGGGGACAAAAATGAGGGGTCCAGTGTGCAGAACAGGGCTGCCAGTGGTTGGAATAGGATGGTTACAGGATCTGGGAGGTAGGTGGGATGCAGAAGGAGATGAGGGTGTAAAGTCTGGGCAGGAGATAAGGGACAGAAGCAGGCTGGGAGTAGGGCGTCTGGTCAGGGGGAGTGAGCAGGAGCAAGGGTGCTAGGATCAACCATGGATGCAAGAGCAGATAGGTGTCTGGCCATGGGGGAGGGTGTAAGAGCAGGGGAGGGTGCAAGAGCAGGCTGTGGGTAGGGTGTGTGGCAAGGAAGGAGGGTGCAGGAGCAGAGGTGGCAGCGTGTCTGGCCACAGACAGGGAGATCAGGGAAAGAAGTGCCTGGGACTAAAGCTGGGGGGGCAGAGTGGCTGAGGGGGTTCAGGGAGATGGTGGACAGGGTGCCCCTGGGGACAGGGCTGGGGTCAAGGTAGTGCAGGGTGGCTCAGGGAAATGGAGGTGCAGAGGGCAGGGAGGCTGGGTGTGGCAAGGCGGGGGTGGGCAGGTAGGTGACCCCAGGGTGTCCAGCCCTGCAGGGGATGGGGTACCACGGGGTCCAGTCCACGGTGCCCTCGGGGCTGAACCATCGTTCAGGTCCTCCCCCCATACTTCCCATGGGTGCAAAGCAGTGTTCCCTCTAACATTTTCTATCCTTGGGCAGGATGAATTTTCTTTTGGGTGGGTTAAATTTTCTTATGTGCACCACCAATATTGAGGTAGTGTGTCAATATACACCACCAATACAAACAAAACACACACAATATATACATATATTTTAAGCAACCCATACGTGTGCAATAAAATATATTAAAACAAGACACCTGTTACTAGTGTCTGTGAGGTACCCTTACTGACTACAGAGGTGCTGTACAAAGGTAAGGAAGTAGCCTTCTTCCACAGGAGGAAATTGGGGCCCCAGAACAAATTAACACATTGCTTCAGGGTTTGTAAACTTTTGCATGTTTCAAAGAGCTTGCAAATAAGTCCTGCACTACCTTAGTACTATTCACTGTTCTTTTCAGCTGCAGACACAGCTACCCCTCTGAAACTGTTAGTGGCTTAAGATAAGAAAGAAAAGATTCTTTTAACACCTATCTGCAAACTTTGTTTGAAATCTTCAGAGGGGTAGCCCAGTTAGTCTGTACAGGATAAACTTAAAAACAACAAATAGTCTGGTAGCACTTTAAAGACATGATACCATCTACATGTTTTGTTAGTCTTTAAAGTGCTACCAGACTATTTGTTGTTTAAGTTTGTTTGAAATGTAATCATGCAAATATCCTCTTAGCACAAACACACACACACCAAGCTTCCCTCCACTCCTCCAAACCAGTCTAACAGAGGCCTCAGTGAGTCAGACACCCCAAACAAACTACCCCGACTCCACCTCATAACAGATGCCAGCACTTAATTACTCCCACACCTACTCCATGCAGTCAGCCCCTTTACCTCCCCATGCCCAGCCCAGGAGGATTAAAGAGACAGACTGCTGGGTCTCTGCCTCTCTCTCCTCCACAGATGGGACTCTCCCCAAGCCAATTAATTACTCCCTTACTCCCTTCTCCCAGCCACTCATTCCCTGCTTACCTGCTGATACTCTTCTATGAGGCAGGCAGCATTTAGCTGTTGTTTACAGAGGCCAGTCCCTGCCCATCAGCTGATCCCTCTGGCAGCTCAGGGAACTATGTACAGCTGAGACCGCACAGCTTAAAGGGAACTTTAGTGCAAAGCCCTGAAGGGCCCCGAATCCCCATCTTCCTCCTTCATGTTCAGAGTCTTCAGTCCCAGCGCTGCCTCCTCTCACTGCTGCGGGCCGCACAGCTCAACCTGCTGCCAGGGAAGTGAGGGAGCGCCTGCCGCTCACACCAGTACAGCCTGCCCAGCCATGCCAAGCCCCGCTCATCCCAACCTGCTGCCTGCCCCGCAGGACCAACCCAAAGAGCACTGCTCTTACCCCAGGTGGCAGCTCCTCCACAAGGAGGAGGTGAGTTTGCTTCACCTCCCCACCTGCCCGTCAGAGCTGCTTTTGCAGCCTCCCGGCTGTGGCCAACTGCCAGGCTTCAGAAGCAGCGCGGGCTCCCCTCTGCATGAAGAAGGGAGGGTGAGCTCCTGCCGCGGATTCCGCACTTTGAGATCCACTGCCCAAACTGGGCTGCAAACAAATGTATTGAGAAGCCCTGTCTTGAGTAGCCCTGATGTACACTATTTTCTGTGGGTTCTGTAAAATGTAGATCTCCTTATCAACACAGGATTGTAAAAATAAATTTATGCTTGTGCGACATTCATATTAGCCCATGAATAAATTAGTAATTCTGTTTTCAAAGCAGAATTTGAATTCCATGATGTAAGGTGAAGCATGAGGACACACTGAACAATAAGAAAAAAATATACTGAAGTGAGCATTATAAACCATACACACTTAAGGCAGAAGGGTCCAGTGGAAAAATCTACATGTGATTATCTAATTAAATGCTTATCATAATTCCTATGTATCAGGTTGCCAAATTAAGTTTGCACAGGCCATCATGATTCTAGCATATTCTACCTTTGGCTTCTTAAATTTGGCAATCTCAAAGGTATTTTTAAAGGTTCTTATCTGTATAATCTGTTTTATGCTCAACAGTGATAGAAATGTCTTATAGGTTAATTTTAAAGAGGAGCACTCAAAAAACATCTTTGAATGACAAAGATTAGAATAGCTTCACAATGGAGTCTACCAATAGAGTTGGGGAACTTTTATAAAGGAAGCAATTATTGATTGATTTATATTTAGAAAGATTGATATATTTATACACCCCCCCCCCCCCCACCCCAAACATTTTTTTTTATCCTTCACTCTTTTAATTTTTTTACCCCCCCCCCCCCCCCAATCCAAGCATCTTTTTATACTCTTACCTGATCCAACATGCCCTACATATTTGACAAGGCTCTTGCCTGTTTCTATACTCCACAGCAAGGCAGTATGGTCTACAAAGGTTAAAGCAGAAATATTTGTAAACAATTCAGGTATACGCAACATTTTTATATTTTAACTATTATATAAGCAGATTGGTGCCTCTCGGTGTAAAGCAAGATTCCTAGCACGACAAATGGAAACAGTTTCAACTAAGTTATTTAAAGGAGAAGTACATTGTATTTTCAAAGTTTCCATGCACTGCAACTTGAAAAACAATGGTTATTATCAATTATAAAATGTAGCAGGAAGCTGCTACTTTAAATAAATTTAGTTTGAGAAGTTTTGGAAGACAAGTTTTACTTCTAGAATGTATTTTCTGTTTCTTAGTAAAAGATGAATGAAACTACGTAGCCATCAGTTTTAGGATGATTTTATGGCATTAAAAACACTTCACACCTTAAGTGCTGACAAAAGAACACCACATCAACTTAAAGCTGAACCCACAAGAGAGTTGCTTCATTCACTCAAGAAGGCTTCTCAAAAAAGTTTTCAGTATACCTTGAAAGCAATGATGGTTCTTCTAGATGTGGATTTCTGTGGGTGCTCCACTCAGGTGTTGGTGCGATCTCATGCTGGCCATTGGAGATTTTTAGCCTAGCAGTGTCTTTCCACATCACACATGAGCAGTCATTGTCTCACACTATTTTCATCTGTTAGCTGCATGTGTGACATAGTTCCCCTCTCTTCATTTTCTACTGGAAATCCTTTAATGGACTCCAAACTAGAGAGGAGGAAGGGAGGGTAGTAGAGACCCACAGGGACACGCATCTTGAAGAACCATCATTAGTGCACAAGGTAACTTCCTCTTCTCCATCGCAGTGATGTCAGCGCTAATGGCAGGGGTGAAACTTGTTTGGTGAGGCTGTGCCAACTGGGGATGTAAACTGAGGCCAACCATGCCTGTAAACATCATGTGTGGAATCTGGCAAGGCATATCACGAAAGTGGTGGTTGCCAAGTGACCTAGGATCTGGAGATACGTGCTAAGAGTTGCAACAACGCTTACAAATACTGTTTATTATTTGACAGTGCTGTGTCTCCTTAGAAGCCTCACAATACAGATAAAACAATGAATAATAGGTTATTCCCAATGTAGGTAGGGGACTCCCTATCTTGCTTAGAGCCAATGAAATGGCTCTGTGGTGCTCCCTCCCTTAAAGCTCCTGGAATAGGGGTATTCTGAAGGAAAACTACAGCAGCGCTGCTGTGTGATTATTCTTGGCCTCCTATGACTTCTATGCTACTGTGGACAGTGCAGATTTAGAGAAGCCTTAAGGCTAATCTAAAATATTGAAAACTTTGCACTATTCATTTTCTTGTTATTTAACTTCATATTAAATAAACATTTAAAGCCATGCACCTTGTTAACTATTCCTTGTTCCAGTATTCTTTCTTCCATTTGTGTGTGAGTGTGAGTGTAAGAGAAAGAATGAATAACTTGGGTGCCACAATGGCACCCGTCGAAACAAGTGCGCATGACCTCAATATTCATGCACAAGACAAAACTCACTCCACTCACGGATGGAAAAATCTTAGAGGGAACACTGGTGTGCACTAGTTCTGTAGGGAGGTCGCTCAGGTCTCCTTCAAATTGTTACTTCAGTGTCGCCCACTAAGGGGCGGATGACTGTATGTGATGGGCTCTTGTCCTGTTAGGCCGCTGTTTCGATCTATGATCAAATGATCGCTGATAAGAGATATTCCTTGATCTCTGGGACAGAGTGTATCTCCTCTTATTGAGCCATCTGTACATACCTAACGTTCAAAGTGTTGTAGGCTTTGAACTTCTTCAGTTTTGGCTGCAAAGAGTTGATTCCTGTTAAAGGGCAGATCCTCTACTTTTGTCTGCAGTTCGCAAGGGATACCTGATTATTGCATCCATAAAGTGCGGGACTTTAGAGGTGCAACCTGTACAATTATATTATTAACGTAACTTTATAAGCTACCTAAAAGGACAGCTAGCCAAACAAATGCAATTAAATCGAGATCTAACATAAAAGACTCATGAAGTCATTCTCAAAGATAGAATGCAAGTAGGCTTTCAATTATGCTTTATATCTCATCATACCATTTAGGGGCCAAAGTTGCTGAATTTAAGACAGACATTATGAGAAATACTTGAAACAAAAAATTACCAGCAGATGCCGTCCCCAATACCACTGGCTGAGTTTTCGTGACACTGACATCCCAAATACCATCCCTGTGGCCAACATACTCCTTCACCAGCTGACAAATTGCCCTTGATGTTGTAGTTTTGAAACTGGATACAATCTATAATAGCAAAGAGAACAACTTATTTTTCCTATCAATCTGAAGATAAATGTTAATTCACCCCAAAAAAGGCACTATGCCCAGCCTTTAACAACATAGATAGCTGATTTTTAAAAAAAGTTCTTGTTTTTCTTACAGTTCATTATTTACCAAGAGTTTCTTGACCTTTAAGTGCAGAAAAATCAATCTTCTGATGCATATGCTCTAGATATTCTTATCCAGACAAAAGGACACATTTTGTCCTTTGACAGAATAATGCAACACCATAAGCTTGCACTGGCCTATTCTTTCCCTTCTGTTTCATTGTCTATGCTTTCCATTCTGTTTGGTAGCAGATCCTTGGTTATCAGAATTTTCCTTCACCTTTCCACAAACCGTTAGGGGTCCGACAGTTTGAGAAGAGCTTGTATTTTGCTCTCTGATGTAAACTATATTGTGTTATGTAGGTTTGGGAAATTTTGTTTTCTATACAATATGTATAGCTACCAAAAATGTACTTAAAATATATAAAAAAAAGTTAATGCATTTTTCTTCAAAATTTCAGTTAACTTTAAGTTTATAGCATTTTCTTATTTACAAGAATAAACCAAGAAGCATATGAAGGCTGTTTCATTTGCACAATAATGAAGAATTCTGTCACAAAAGTGTCAAAAATTCAAAGGCTAACGAAGTTGTATCTGAACCATATACTGGTCACATTCCCTTAGATTCAATGTTGTTATAAAGAACTTTTTATTAAATCAAAGTTAGTATTAGTATTTAGATAAGCATTAATAAAACAACAAAGCAGAACATAACAGAACGGGGGGAGGGGGAGGGAATACCCATCTTACAGGAAAATAAATGATTATATTAGAGCAGAAATGCTCAACAGTGGTGACCCATTCATATTAGGTTATGTGAACTGGATAAATTCCAGATCAAACAAAAGTAGAATACAATTTGCCTTGCTGGAACGTGACAGACTTCCAGAGTATCCATGCTGAAACTAAGCATGTACAAACAGAAAATCCCCCCACAGAAAGGGGATCAAGACAAGCTTCATGCATCTATGCTTTGGGCCTCATTTAACAAGTACATTAAAAGGAAGAGGACACATCAAAGTTAGATATAAATTCTGTGAAAAATATATCCTGACAAAATTCCTAGCAGAATATGAACTAGTATTTTAAGTTATGTAGTCACTCACCAGTTAACTAAAACCCTAAAATGTCTTAACTTAAAAGTAAAGAGAATTTTAAATAATGAATTCTACATTTCAGCTACAATTTCCTCTATCAGAAAGTTTTACTCTGGAAAAACATTACTTAGAATGAAGTCCCATTAATCTGTGATGACTGAGCAAGAAAGAGACATGGCACTGAACTGTCATGTGATTAAAAAAAATTAAAATTGTTCCAGTAAAGAGACAAGTATCAGAGGGGTAGCCGTGTTAGTCTGAATCTGCAAAAGCGACGAGGAGTCCTGTGGCACCTTATAGACTAACTGAAGTGTAGGAGCATAAGCTTTCGTGGGCAAAGACCCACTTCGTCAGATGCATGTCAGGAATCAGGAATGGTTTGCCTTTTTTCCTGTCAAATTGCTATCGATGCATTGAGCTACACAAATTGCGTAGCTTATTTCGAGTCAATTTCAAAATAGCTTATTTTGAAATTTGGCTGTCTACATAGCACTTATTTCAAAATAAATCAAGAGAGACGTCATAAAAATAGAGAAAATCTGGAAGAATACTGAGAAAGAAAATATTCCAATTTTGTTTTCATGTCAATCTTCTAATGATGTAATGATAAAGTCTTCTATAAAGTCAAAATTAAATTGTTAATAAACAAAGAACAGCCTGAAGTCCACAGAAGCAACAAATCACTTAAGGATGCATTTAAAAGGAAACACATAAATCCTCAAAAAACAAGATAAAGATTAGTAGTTAAACCATACTGCAGAATTCATCAAAAAACCTTCAAGACAACTTAAAAAGCAGCTTTCTGATTTAATATGCTCATTAGAACAAAACTGAGCCATGTATGCAAAGCAGAATAGTAGAAGTAAGTTACAGAAATAGGACTAACATACTAGGGATGTTAGCTATTAGGTAATTGAATAGTCATGTGACAACATGCAATTTTAGCAGTTACACAACTATTTGATAGTCCCTGGAGGCGGAGCTGGCAGCCAGTGCACTCCTGACCCCACTCCCTGGGAACTCCCTGCCACTTCACGCTGCTGCCTATCAGAGGCAGCAGTGCAGGTTGGCAGGCGGAGCCAGTCCGTGAGAGGAGCCAGTTTAAAAACTGGCTCTCCTCACAGATCAGCTACCTGTCCAAGCTCTCTCCAAGCTCCCCATGAACAGAGGCTGCTCCATAGGATGCGAAGCAGCCTCTGTCCACAGGGAGCTCAGGTCCGCCTCCTGTCCCCACCCCACATTGCTGACTCTGACAGAGGCAGGAGCGTAGGTGAGGCAGGCAGAACCAGCTTATAAGCCAGTTCCCAGCACGTGTTCCTGACTGCTCCTCACTCCCACGTCTCTGTAGGAAGCAGCAAGTGGTGAGGGCAGGTGAGTCTATGGAGTTGGCATATACGGTGGACTGGCTTGAAAGCCACTCTCCATGCATAGCAGCTCCAGCCTGTCCCCCTTGCCCTCTACACTGCTGCCTCTCTATCAGAGGGAGAAGGAGCACACGGATCTGACACTCGTGGGAAGCCTACTTAAAGACAGCTCCTCACAGGCTCCACTCCCTCCTATTGCTGCCTCTGATACAGAGGTAGTGGGGGGAATGCATGCAGTAGACAAGAATAACCGATAAGCCTAGGGTTTATCAGTTAATCATATAGATGACTACACGGTGAAATTCCTATAACATACCTCTCAACTGTTTATCAAATTTCCAATATTCTCATTCTTTTCCTCTCTCTCTCCCTCCCTCCCTGAAGATGCCATTACAAAGTAACCTGAGCAAAGTTGTTTTATCTTCAGTTTCGGGGAAAGATTCTGTCGATGTAAGTTACTACACATTTTCTTTTCACTTGTCACTGAAGTCTCTCTAGAACAGAGCTTCAGCAACATAGGCTTGTCAGGCTATATACTTAGAGAGACACCATACTTTTAACATCTGACATTTGCCTTCAGTTTTAACATCTTTTTTAGTAGGCATTGCTACATTTTTCTGCTGGAAACATCCTTAAGTTACTTCCTCTTTGAAAGTAAGAATTCTGTAAAAACATGATGCCCAGAGGGAAGAGCTAGTTACTGACCTTGTAATTCTGCTTCTCTGAAAAAGTCATCTGGCAGGAATATTCACTGACCCACTTTCCACAGTTCTGATAGGTTTGTTTTAGATGGTGTTTATGTTTGAATTCCATGTCTGTTTACCATTTTAACATGATATTTTCTATACAAGAGTTTTTTGTGGATTGCCTTAATTTTTTGAAAGGAGGCTTTCCAGCTCATCACTACCATCAATTAAGGACTGTAATGTTCAAACACCGCAAATGACTATCCTCCGATTGGCATGTGGCCACCAGTGATGGTTGACTCACACCAAGCCACTGTTACTTTCTTAATGATAAAAAAAATCTTTTTAAACCAAACCTGGGCAGTATTCACTGTGTCACAATAGGGAGCAAAAATTCAGAAGTAAGAATTCTGTACCAAATATTATCTTTAAAGGAGAGATAACAAATCTAATTGTTGTCCTTTGCAGGTTAGATAGACATCTATCAGGGATGATCTAGATCAGTGTTTCCCAATGGTGTTCTGCAGAACCCCAGGGTTCCACAAAGTGACAATAAGGGTTCCGCAAGAAAATTCCATTACAACAACATTTCATGACTTAAAATAATAATAATAATTAACATTGTGATTTTTGTTTTTAAAGATGCAATTAAACTAAATGTTGATCTCATGACCTTGTTTAGCATTTATTTATTATTATCCTTCCTTATCTGTGGTCTACTTTTTCAGCTCCATACCTTAGACTGTTATGAGGGGTGCCGCAAAATTCCTTCGAGTTTAAAAGGGTTCCGTGGCCAAATAAAATGGGGAAACTCTGATCTAGATGATGGTTGGTCCTGCCATAAGGGCAGGGGACTGGACTTGATGAACTCTCAAGGTCCTTTCCAAGTTTTAGTATTCTACTTGGATACTTTCCTCACCTCAAAACCACAGCTTTATTTACTGCAATATTTTACTCCTCCTCCCACCCTCATGAACTACACTTCACGGAGGAAGCAAAAAAGCTGTTCAAACACCACTGACTAGTAAAAAAGGGATTTTCAAAAGGTGGATATCAAAATGGCATTTAACTACACTACAGCATTAAGCGGAAAGAACAAAAAACCTGATCAGTCAAGCACAATACAGCCATCTGGCACTCAAGGTGAAAAACTAAGGTTCCATGCTTTGTCATCCTACAGCTCTTTGGAAGATTTTTCTTACAGAATTTGAGTGCAAGAGAAGTTTTATAATTATTCTGTGACTGTTTCCTGAATATCTGCCTCTAAGCACACTGTAGTTTCTTTGTTTTATAGAAGCCAAAGAGAGAGAGACTATCTTCCCAGTCAGAAAAGTAACTGTTCAAAGTAAGCACACTCCCACCAGCTGTAGAGGTTCAACTCAGCAGAACACAATGGAAAAAAGTGCTCCCGGCCCTGCAGTCTTTTTAATCTTCTTCTTCTTCTTTCGTATCCACAAGCAAGAGCAGTAAATGAGTAACAATGAAGAGTGTAAAGTCTTCTGATATGGCACAGCTGCTAGACAGAATACCCAGGAAAAGTTACAAGGCTCTGCATCTTCCTCCATTCACCACTACTTAGCTGTACATGCATATTAGCATGCTGGGAAGCAAAGAAGTCATCCAGGAGTCTCCACCCTACAATTCCTAGCTTCCCATGTGGAAACTGTGAGGTCCACCTGCTTTGCCTGGGTAAGAATTTGAGTGCTACAATGCAAGCAATTAAGATAAGAGAAGTATTCAAACACCTACTTTTCAAACAGTAATATCTGCATATTAAAAATGAAAAGTACTATTCTGAGACTTCACAATAGTTGTACAACTATTCCTATGCTGCCCATATTTTAACTAGGCTCATTAATGAATTTGTTACTCATGCAATACCAAAAAAGGGGATATAATTTTATCACATGCAAACCGATTTGCAGCAAGAGGAACTAAAAAGTCTTCAGGAAGAAAAGGAATTTTTTTTTACATTGGACTAAATAATAAAACCCTCCCCATTCTTATCATCTCGCTTCCCTGTATATCAATTCTGTCTAAAGTCGTGATACACATTAAATACATATTTACAAAAGTCATCCCAATGCATCTCCTTCCTTTTTATTTATCCAGATTATATGCAAAATGTTAACTATGAAACATTATATGCAAAATGTTAACTACTAATGTTTTCCCAATCTGTTAGCAGGCTTCTGAGACTAGACCATGGGGAAAAGGGAGAAGACAAGAACATAACTTTGGTCTGCTTCACCATACTGTGTCCATGCACCCACACTTCCAGTAGAATAATAAATGGCTCCTGTAAAAACTCCTATAATGCCAGTAGACTCCCACAGCATCTCATAATGCAGCTAACCATCGGAACAGTTCATGTATTTAACCAGAAAATTCAGATATCATTTTTCATTGCAAACTCTTCTCCTGCCTTTCCCGATAAAACTACCAAGGAATGACCCTCACACCAAGCAAAATAGAGTAGAATAGACACCTATTTGTGTGAGAGAGAAAGGAGAGGTGGATAAAAACTGAAGTCTGACAAGACCAAAAATGGAGAGACATGCCAAACTGGGGAAATAAATGAGAAGATTACGGAAACTGTTCAGAGAGATAGGCACGTCTTCTTGTGCTACATCTTCCAACTGGCAAGGAGCATGATGGGGAGGTTGAGAACCTATCCATTATCATATACCTGAAAAGCAAGAATAGTCACCCTACAATAAGACAAAGCTCAAAACCCCACTACATAGACAACCAAGCAGGTAAAAATCAATTCACCTGCAAGGCTTTCTAAAGACAGTTTTAGAGGTCTTTCCCAAAGAAGTCCTCATTGTCAAAACTTAAACATTAACTTAAAATTTCAACATAAAAACTACAAATAATTCTTTTGTACTTTATACTACCATAAAATCTCTTCCACCCCACACTCCAATTTCTATTAGCCATCTTAAAAACCGTACCTTACAGAATTTTAGTATAGCATTTCTGAAGTGAAGGATTATTGCTGTATCCAAGACAATTATTTATTAGGCGTTTTTCTTTAGAAATGGAACTATACCATTTAACACACAATACATTAAAATACTAAGACAGACATGTTAGTCTCATAAGTGCACATGAATGTTAAGGAGAGGTTTTGTTCATCTCATACCTTGCTAGTAGATGCTTTGTAAGTGGTCTTCAATTTCTGTGAAAGCTGACTGGTACTATGACTGGCTGTTGAGACAAAAGTTGAAGGAAAATATTTCGACTAATAGGTTTGTTAACTAATTTGTACAATGGTATCCATTACCTTTAATTAAATTGTACATTTTATTAAGCTAAGCAGGAAAAGCAAGCTATAGAAAACCTAATATTGATTAATATTTATCTTACCTTTTGTTTTCAGTTGTCCTTTGCTCAGTTCAGCTCCATCAATGGTTTGTCCTTCAACTGCCAAGCGCTCATTGAGTGTATCAATTTCACGACGTACTAACAAGAGCAAAAAAAATTATAAATAAGCAATTAAAAGCACAATTAATATCACAAAATTCCTTAAAGTTTTAAGTATCAGAGGGGTAGCCGCATTAGTCTGAATCTGCAAAAGCGGCAAGGAGTCCTGTGGCACCTTATAGACTAACCGAAGTGTTGGAGGATAAGCTTTCATGGGCAAAGACCCACTGTTTTATGTTATGAGTAACAAGGGTAGTTTATTATAACATTATAAAAGAAGTCTGAATGTACCAAATAAATACAAAGTTTCATGATGAACTTCTTAACCCAAGATAAAGTTTGACCCAGATTCCAAGGAAATTGTGCCAGATAAGCCTTATCACTTCTGATTACGGTGTACTAGCAAATGAGACTAAATATTAAAAGAATAATATCTAATATGTACACAACCTATGCATCAAAATAACCCCACTGAAAAAAAGGAAATTCAGAAGCAAACAGAAATGTGTGGCCTCATCAGTTATTTCATCCACAATTAGCAAGTCATTTTTAGATACTATTAACTATGAAGCAGTTTTCCTTCTATATGCTAGTCATCTGAAGATAGTGCATTGCTGAAAATCAAAAATATACAAAAAGGCAACAGCATATTAAGCTAAATAAGTTAAACAAGAACACTCACTTTATTCCTAAAAGGATCTTAATTAAGATTAACTTATTTTTAAATGAAAAATTCAGTATTTGTACTATTGATCTAATATGTTTCATGCAACTATTTTCTAAACATTTACTCAATACAAAAGTAGGTATTTTTCACGTGAGTATAAAAACTATGTTCCCCACCTCTGAGACTATGTACATACAAAACTGCTCAATGTATTTTTACCATTTCTTCTCTATGCTACCCACACTCACCATTTGTACCATACGAATTTTTATAAGCAGAGATAGTAGCACTACTAACTTATTACCCAAGATCTTGTTTTCAATTGTTTATAACTTTGCCAAACTTAACTGCTTGGCTGGAGTTTTCCATGCCTGGTGTTGGCATACGGCTAAAGTTTATTAGAAAATTTCAGCTAAAATGGTACAGTTAATTCAGAGAACAAGGTCAGGGGAAAAATATGTTTTGTCCAAGTTCAAGTCTGAAAAATCTCTCTCACAAGCTCTTAAACCCCCTGGTTATTGACAACATGGCCTTTGTGCCAGGGATGTACAGTTCGCTGTAAATTCATCAACATCTGGCAAAAGTAAAGGCATTTGAAAAAAAAAATCTGCGAGTTTGCACATAATAGAAACCTTGACACGAGCCGCTCAATTCCTTGAAAATTCCATCTACAATGGGATAGTCTCCAGCCTAAAACTGAACAGGACTTCCCACGAAACGACAGCTCTGGGTTGCTGTGGTCTGTGTACCTAAACTGCAGCACCTAAACTGTAGAGGCACCTAAACTGAGTTTGGAGACACTCTCTCCCTGTGCTCTCAATGATCACTCTGTTAGGCTCAAGCAGCATAAAGGAGGAAGATAGTTGATTTGAATGTAGAGGGGGACAAAGCAGACCTGTTGTTTCAGTAAAATTGATGCTGGGAGCTAGAGAGAGAGAGACAAAGAGAGTGTGAGTGTAAAAGACACTGTGCAAGAGAAACTGACACAGACTGACTGCATGCTGCAGTGTATATGGGACAGTGTGGCCAGACTAGGTGTGTGTGACAGTGACAAAGACTGTGTGTGCTGGCTGCTGTTGAGTAAGTTTCTGAGAGAAGCCAAGCACTGGTTCTTCAAGGGAAATCTGTCCTATTCTGCCTCCCCGTGCCCTGCTGTGCACTCTG